GCTGCTTTTTTTATGGCGCCTGTTACACACTCATTCAAACAGGGTTTTCGCAACCGGTTATGTTCTCTCTAAAAATACCAGTCAGTCATCAGTGCAGTTAAAGTTAGAACCCAACTATCACTAGCGGTACAAATACATGCATGTGTAAATAAAGATCTTCCTCACATTGTGACAAAATAGAAGAATAAATACATTTCATGTGTTCAAGGGATCACAAGAGCATTAAGCCATGCTACCAGCCTGTCAGAGTCATCAGTTTACTCCCAGAACAGTTATTCATATATATAGAAATATAAAAAAAGTGTTTTGCAGTCAAAGCAGTCAAGGTTTATATATACATATAATACTTTCAAGAACTCTATATATAATAATTTCAAGAAATATATATATAGTGTATCTATATATACACACACTCTATTATATAGAGTATATATATGTCTCTATATATGTACACTCTATATATTATGTCTCTATATATGTACACTCTATATATTATATATCTATTTCTTGAAATAAGAAAGAACACAGGGGAGAAGTAGACAGGTAGAAAGATTCTTTGGTTAGTCCAAGCTAAAGAGGAACAAGCCAGGATATAAAGAGCGGCTTCGGTGGGGTTAAATCTGCTTATCCAAGCCTGCAGAAAGCACCAGATCACCGAGTAATGGCTCCCAAATATTTGAAGCCAAACAATCAGTCAGCTAAACGTTTTTCAACAGCCTCCTGCAGGTTATCTGTCATCCAGATGAGTAACATTGACTTCGGCTTGACATTTCTGCACTAGCTCTGTTGTTCTGGCAGCTTTTCTAATATTAGTGCCAGAGGACATTTCATAAATACAGAATATTTTGTCTAAAATAACACGTAGTGTGATGGTGGCTCATCTAAAGCCCCATGGTTTCAGTGTAATCCTGTCAAGGCTCCCCATCACCACTGCAAGCTCCGCTCTCACAACCCTCCTGTAAATAAGGCGAGCGCCCCTGAGCTCATTAAGAGCTCGCGTCCATGGGATCGGTCGCAGGGAAACTACTTTTCCCTCTTTCATGCAAACATCAAAGAGTACTTTGTTGTTTCCTTGGAAGCGCCAGCAGTTACGCCAACCTGAAAGCGGCAATTAATGAATGACTATTGTCCCTAAAACATTCAACACACAGGACATATGGAATAGTGGCAATTCCTTCACTTCACAGAGCAAGCGGGTTGGGATCGGATCCACGACCATTTTTACACTGGCTGAGCTCACGTCATCAGCGCCACATTATTTCCAGCCCTGGTATTTTATATATTCTCGCACTGATTAGCAGCTACTCAGCAGAAGTGGAGAGTCTGTACAAAGACGCCAAATGAGGCTTAGCATCAGATAGGAAGGAACTCTGCAAAAACCTGTACGTTCTTGGCAAAACGTGGGCTCAGAGATGGGGCTTGCTCGTGTTGGGTGCTAATGCCGAGGTCAGTGCTACCAGCCCAAAGTTCACGGCGCTGTGTCACTACACGCATGTAACAAGTGATGAATTTTTTGTTTTCTGCCCTATTTCTGGGTGTGTTGTCCTGAAATTGGCTCCCTCTTTGACCCAGCCTGTCCCATGCTCCATGCCTGACATGCCCCTGCAGAAAGAGCTGCCGGTCGTTCTCTCGCATTTCGCGAAGCCACTTGCTCGGGACTTCCCAGAGCTGCTCTGGACTTCTCTTACTAGATGGGGCTTAGGTCCACTCACAGATTCTGGCATCACCCTCGACTGCTTGGTGCGTTCATTCCCTGTCCCGAAGGGGACTAGGCTATGTTGAGAGCATGAAAGATCTCAAAGAAAGATGGTCAAGGCCAAAACTGGACTATATTTTAGTGCTAGGTGTGAGCACTTTCTTTTGCTCTTCTCTTCCCATTTACTGAGGAATCAGGAGATCAGAAAACTATATTCATTAGTTTTTACAAATTTTACAAAGAGTACTGAAGATGAAGAATGATGGAGTGTGTTCAAGAATCTCCCCCCTTCTTCAAAGGCTAAGCAATCACCCATTTCACCTAAAAAGCTGGCTGTGGAAACACTGTGCCTTACCCCCAAAAATCAGAGAATGACTTAATATAGAAAAGCTTTCATTACTGGTTCAGAAAAAACATCCACCCAGCTCAAGCTTTATCCAACAGTGGCCACAAGCAGGTGCACAGGGAAAAGCAAGAAGGCGGCAAGCAGGAATAACGTCTCCCCTAAGCACCTTCCCAGCCTCCCACTGCTTTCAGCCAAGGCAGATGAGGTTTCTGTGCATTTAGTCATCTTCAGTGGATTTCTCTTCCAGCTGCTTGCTTGAACCAAACTGCCATCATCCAAGAAGACTTAACAGACAAGCTGTGTATAGCAACAAAAATGTGTGTCTTAACTCTTAGCCCCCTTTCCTTATGTATATATATGTTAAATCTGTCTTAAAATTTAAACTTACCTTAATAAAAAATAATACGCAAGTGATAGAGTGAATAATACATGAGTCCTTTCCTGGAAGGAGCTCGCATTCTTTAGGAGCATAAGTAAGTACGTCCTGAATACTTCAAGGGAGAAGGCCAGGCACTGGTCAAACTTCTCCACATCTATCCAATATCCCAGACAGAGAAATGAGTCCTTATTATTTCAGCCAGTCCTCTTGACATGGGACGAGAAGGAAGAGTTATGAATTAGGATGATATTTTCTGGTGATGTAGCACTGGGTGATGCGCTGTTCCTCCAGAAGGGCTGAAGATCTCCTACAGAAGAAAAGCTGACCTCGAGAAGCAGGCACATGGGATGAAATCCAACGGCACGGACGCGTGGCCATGCTCTTCTGGACAGGCTCAGATTTCTGCAAGACCCTTAGGGCTCTGTAGCTGGAATGACCAACTACAAGAAAGACCAGTTAAGAGTGTTGGTTGATCACTGGAAAACTATGAAGCATTGCAGGTATGAGAAACAAATAGGATTTTTAGGCTGTTTCAGACATTTCCTACCTGCGAAGAAAAGTAATCAGACAGGATCACAACAGGACTTGAGCTTCTTGAAGTTGTCCTTGACAGCTCCTTACCCTATCAGCCTCATGGTTGTTTAAAAGTATCATATTCGGAAGAAGCTATTACCTAGCATGAGTATCAATAAAATATAATTGTATAATATTTTAGACGGCCCGATAATCCAGAGGTGAAAAGCCAGACAGCTGAATGACTAATGACTGCAGATCCAGGAAAGACAACCCTTCTTGCCTCCAGAGCTAGAAAATAACCCAGGAGTGCCAGCACAACATTCTGGAGAGGCATTTGTGCTCATTATTGGTACGTGTTTTTGTCCCTGAAATTACCTACACTGTGTGTCTTGCAAATTATCTACACAGAACAGCATGTAACTCTGAATGAAAAACTGGAAGTAATAGATGAATGGGTCTGTGTTCTATTTTTTTCTCCTTCTCTTGAGGAAATCTTAGTAGTTACTATAACAACCCTGGCCAGATCCCATCTTGTTTAGTATGGTAACAAACAGAAAACAAAAAGCCCGATTTTGCTTTTAAAATTGCAGTCTTCATGAATTTCCTCTTTCAGCTCCATGGGGAGAGAGGGGAACTTTCT